TCAATTATTTTGAGTAATTTTCTTCAAAGTTACCCACAAATACTGAGTAATTTCTATTTCTCTGAAGAATTACATTTACATGGAAATTCAGTAAAGGTGCATTACGCATGAGCGAACCTCCAAATTTAGGACGAGTCAACCAAGACGACTAATGTTCCTGCCCCCGATGCGATTAACGCCGACTCAGATTTAGAATATCTCAGTAAGTCAGGAAGAGTTCCTAACTCGATTTTGTTCATCAAACGACGTCAGAAATGATGGTGGCAGTCATCACCTTGTCCCCATTCGATACATGGTATCTGTTTCACGGAAACTGGATAGAATTCCTCGTCGAACAACTTACTCCATAGAGAGACCGTATATCAGGGCACGTCCAAAGGGAATGGGGAATCCCCAGCGGGAGGTCGTGCTCGATGGCTGTAAGGGGGAGGGGGGTCGTAAGCGCTGGGTCAGCCAACAGTGCACAATACAGCGATGTCCCTAGCATGAAGCTGGGTAGCAGGGAGAGAAGGGCTCCCATGGCAAAACCCTGTGATATGAGAAAAATTTTGTAGATGTTTAAATATGTTTTGTTTAGATGAAGCCGATCCCGCATCAGATATCGACGAGAGAATGTGTTTCGCATACCTGTTGTGATAACCTAACAAATTTCCTGTGATAGGTTTGGGGAAGAGACTTTTCGAGTTGCTGCGAATTTTACCCGACGTGTCCTCGGCGCGCTAATTTTGGAGCCAGTAATCCTTCCAGGGACCTTTGGCTCCCCTACCTCCCAGAAATACCTAGACTGTTTCGAAATATTGAGAATGAAAAAATTTATGGCCGCTTGAACGATGAAAACTCAAAAAAACCCCAACAAATCTCCAGCGCTCATATCTCCCGAATTTAAAAAGCTCAGGGTAAGATTGAGTGGCAGTCATATAGTTCAAGGCAAATTCTTGAAAAAAGTCCTTTTCGTTTTCCAAATGCTGCGCCTCGAAGAAAGTTATGACTCCCTCAACTTGTGACTGCATCTAAGGCGGGGTTCCAGTCACAGAATACCGCGCTCCAATGTAGGGTGTACCCAGCCGCGTGCTGCAACCGCGGTAGCCTGCGTGCTGCGACCGCGGTAGCTTGCCTCAGGCTCCACGGCCTGTCGGCATGAGAAATGCACAAATTTGCGTCGGAAGAGTCGTACTAAGGTATTCCTCGGGGGGGGGGGTCGTACCGACGTGGCCATTTTCCCCAGCGACAAGACGTGCCCTGCCGGATATACTTCGCCCTTAAATTTTGTCGCGAACGTATTGATAGATGTTTGATCACATAATGGTTGAGGTGTTCATGTTTCTATTGTGATGGAAATCCAACCGGACCGTGAATTGAGCCCCGCGAATTTCCAAAAACACAAGATACTTCCCTATACTTACCTTACTATATTTTAGCGGTCCTGAGCGCGTTCTTGCGGATAGCCTGTTGGTCTTGAGAATCTATTGTCGCTAAATGATTTCCCAATTACTAGTTATCCGGACCTGCTCGTTTTATGCCGGAAAAGCGATATTGTGCCACCTCTAGCTTAATGATCTTTCCTGCGCGTCACCCAATGCTTATATCGTTAAGAGTGGAAAAAAAAAAAGGCGGTGTGAAACGTGAACTCGGACAGCAAAAGCCTTTGAGTTCCGGGGCAAGGCAAGTAGGGGGGGGGCGTCAGAACTGTTACCTATGAGGGCTGCAGCAGGCCGGTCGTGTGGACCAGACAATGTTACAAGGAAGCACGCTTACAAATTGCTCGATCGCAGAGAGTCTTTTGAATAGATGCGTTGACGATAATGGGACGAGATGATCTTACTGCTAGATTATCGGAATTGCTAGGTATGCCTTTTCACCCAGGGGAAGCTTACAGTTGGCTCTCCTCACCTCGACTTGCAAACCAACTTAAAGACAAGTTCTACCAAAAAAATTGAAAACGCGCCGGTCTACACCTGCTCGGTCCTTTGACGGACAAATTACCTCTGCTCAGTACTCCTTCACTGGAATGATTTCTTGTTGGTACTGGATAATCTCGAAAACAAAGCTCAGAGATCCAGTCCACGCTGATCGTGTGGGCGGAGTCCACGCCCACTCTAGCTTTCTCTCCTGGATGTGCTGTTGCTGCTCCTTGTAAGATGGTGAGTGGAAGACTGGCAAGTGCAGGGTTGACTCCGCCCCATGCCACCGGCGTGGACTGTGCTTACAGCTTTCATTTGCAGTAAACCAACTTTATGCCAACGAGACGTTCGTGGATCAGAGTGGTATGGAGCCAGGTGAAGGTAAGCACTCCTACTGAAGTTCATACGATTCTTCTCCTCTATAGCGAATTCTGTAAGAAGCTTCGCTTTCTTTGTGAAGTAGTGCGAGCGTATTTATTTCGCAAGCCTCATTAAAATCCGTACAGCGAAATCCTACTATATATAAACGGCGACGTCTGTCTGTCTGTCTGTCTGTCTGTCTGTCTGTCTGTCTGTCTGTCTGTCTGTCTGTCTGTCTGTCTGTCTGTCTGTCTGTCCGGAAATTCGGAACTACCTGAAGAGCCAGTCTCAGGGGGCGGGTCAAGGTTGGGATGGGTAGGGCATGGGCCAAGATGTACGAAACACACGTGAACTAGGCTAAGCCCCGCCCACTGTGGGCGGCGCGTGCGCATAGTTGTGAGCTTCATATTTCAAAAATTCGTAGTTCGGTTCCAAAAAAGCCCCGAGAGCGGAGAAAAGTGGCAAACGATAGGCAATTAGTTCGCGGACGAAATGACTGAAACAAACCCATTTTGGGCGGGGCGTTCTACAGATGGGCGGTGCTTGCTTCGAGATTTTCAAAAATTCCCAGTTCGGTTCCAAAAGAGCCCCGAGAGCGGAAAAAGTGGCAAACGATAGGCAATCAGTTCGCGGACGAAATGACTGAAACAAACCCATTCTGTGCAGGGCGTTCTGTAGGTAAGCGGTGCCTGCTACGAAACTTTCAAAAATTCGTAGTTGGGTTCCAAAAAAGCTCGGAGAGTGGGAGAAGTGGCAAACGATAGGCAATCAGTTGGCGGACGGAATTAATGAAGCACACCTGATGGGCGGAGCGTTCGCCGAAGTGGAGGACGAAAACCCTCGAAACGCATCCGAAAAAACCCCACGAAATGGGGAGTGAGCTGAAACTAAACAGTGGTATGGCAGATGAACATAGTGAGGGGATATACTAGAAGTGAAACGGTAAAGTGCGGTAATTCTCAAAATAATATTTCTTTCGACCATTCGGCGGGCGAAGCCGGCCGATCCGACTGGCCCTCCCTCACACGGAAAACTTCTCACAGGGACCCACTTCACACGGAAGGAGAATGCCGGCGAACGCCGGCCGATCGATTGCGAAATAAATAAAATACGCAGTGGAGACGTTGGGGGCAAACCGATGTTGGTCTCCGAGCTGTGACTCGCAGGCGAGTCTGGATAGGCCCGTTCACGCAGTGTCTCATTCTTTCGGATACACGGTGAATACTGAAAGTCAACCAAAGAGAGGCGAACCTCATTGAGGGCGTTCTTTTTCTGACGATTCTTTCTGTCCGTTTTTTACAGGTGAGTCAACTAGCACTATGAAAAAGGGAAATGGTTTATGGGATCCCATTACACACATTTCCCTTCGAAGTGCGGAACATATCTTCAAATTCGCAGTAGAGTAGGCGAGGCGGATTAGATTATGTATGACAAACCACACACTATTCTTGTTTTCATCACTAATCATCCCATGTAGTTTGACCCTTTATTCGACTCCTGGGTGATAAGTCAACTCTCCGACCAGAAGAGCCGAAGCAGTTGCAGTAGTTATGATTCTTGTGAACTGCTTGGACTTGATATATGACGGATTATATTGATGGTTCCAACGCCCCAAGATCTGAACGAGATTGAATTGTTCTT